AAGATACATATAACGAGTGTCACATCCGCTGATATAGCAATAGTTCCCAGTGCCACCCCAACACCCCGGTCGGGACACAATGGTGAAGGCCACACATTCCATCTGGCGATCATGAAGCTATCCGGTGTGATCTTCTTTAACAAATCAGCCCGGCTAGCTCAATCGGCAGAGCGTGAGACTCTTAATCTCAAGGTTGCGGGTTCAACCCCCGCGTTGGGCTTTACTTTTTGATTGATCCCGGATCAGCTTCTCTACTCCTTCTTTTTTGTGTCTTTTACCCGACATAAAACGGGCCTGATAGTTCACAGGACTGAATCACCAACTAAAACGTGACAAATACCCACCTTGTGAGGTTGGTGGTGCATCCTACGCTGCCAATGGAGAACAATTGCTAACCGGAGCGTACCTTGTAGAGAAGAGTTCTACGGCAGAGCCGGCGCTCGGCTCTCTTGCTTTTCAGCACCACAAGTATTTTCGGTTGCCTTGAAGCTCTTGACGCCTGTGATAAAGCAGAATATGTGCAATATTTCCAACAACCAGCCCGGCTAGCTCAATCGGCAGAGCGTGAGACTCTTAATCTCAAGGTTGCGGGTTCAACCCCCGCGTTGGGCTTCACTTTTTGCCCATCACCATTTCTCTGCTCGCTGACTTGCCATTGATATGCGAGCCTTCTTTTTCTTTTCTTTTTTTTTTTTTGGCCTCTACACGCTCATTGTCGATGATCAGTTTGTTTTGTACTACAAGGCGGAAATCCCTAACTGCTGCCCATGGTTCGGACGCAGCCGCCGAACCCTCCATCCTAGTCCATATGACAATATCTATCGTCGCTTAAAGGTACAGTGCATTTGTCTCACAGACAACCTGTACATGCGCTAATCCAAACTCAAGATAATACGTACACAGGATCCAGAACTCCAATGACCTTCCTCCCGCCGCCGGAATACTCATGATTCCGAGGAATCCTCATCCTCCTCCTGCTTCGGCGCCATCAATTCCATCCGCTTAAAGAGGGCGACAACATCCTTCCTTCCATTCTTAGCTGCAAGCTCCTTGGGAGTGCGACCACGATCATCCGGCAGACTCGCCGACAAGCCATGGCCCAGCAAGAAGTACACATCCTCAGCCAGCCCGGCCTCTGCCGCCATATGTAGCGCCGTCTGCCCGAACATGTCCTTCGCATGCACATGAGCTCCCTTATTGACCAGCAATCTCATAACGTGGTTCTCCGCCCCCACGGCCTTGAGCAACGGCGTTCGCTTGTAGTCGTCACGCAACTCGAGGTCCGCATCTTTGCGGACCATATACTCGACCAATTTCCGCCGGCCTCGTTGGACGGCCTTGTGCAGGGGGCTCTCACCGGAGAAGTTGGTCACGTTGATATCGGGCGACTGGTCCAGGAACAATTCGAACAATTTCCGCCGACCGCCGGCGGCTGCGAAGTGTAGAGGCGTATCCCCATTGCCGTCCTGGGCTTCCGGGTCGGCACCATAGTTAAGGAGCATGCCCATGATGTGGTCGTGGCGGTTGATGATCGCTCGGTGCAACGCCGTCATGCCGTCCTCTGCCGTAGCCTCGAGTCCTACGCCGCTGTCGAGGGCGATTTCAGCCAGCTCAACATCGCCGTCGGCTGCTGCGATGTGTAGAATCGTTCGCCCGGAAGTATCCTTGGTGTTGGCATCAGCCCCTGCGTCGAGGAGCAATTCGATCATCTTCCGTCCCCGCTTGCCCCGATCATACAAGACCAAGGACATCAGCAGGGACAGGCCCCGAGCTGGGGCATTGATGTTCGCCTTCTTCTTCAGCAGATACTTGACCACCTCAAAATGACCGCGTCGGCCGGCTTGATATAAGGCAGTCCCGCAAGGTTGTTGTTGCTGCTGCTGTGCATCTTCAAGCTCTATCGGTCGAATCTCCAAGTCGGCCCCGTGCCGAACCAGCAACCGCACGATCGAGAGCAAACCCATCCGCGCAGCCCACCAGAGAGCTGACCGGCCTGCATCATCCACGAGATCAAGGTTGATTCTCCGCGAGGCGATCAGCAACCGCACGACCTCCTCGGAGCCCTTTTCCACAGCCCACAGCAACGGCGGCCTCCCGTCCCCATCCCGAACATCCGGATTCGCGCCAGCCTTGAGTAACAACTGCGCTATCGTTTCATTCCCTTTCTCAACCGCCACCGACAGCGGTGCGCGGCCAGCCAGGTCTTTAGCATCGGGATTCGCGCCAGCCTTTAGCAGCAACTGTACAATCGTCTCATTTCCCTTCTCCACCGCCACCGACAACGGCGGTGCCCGAGCAGCAGCAACAGCAGCAGCAGCTTCTCCCTCACCCTCCTCCCCCTCTTCTTCACAATTCAAGCCCGCATTCGGATCCGCCTGCGCATCCACCAAAACCTCTACAACGTCAACAGCCCCCTTCTCAACTGCCACCTCCAACGGCCTGACCCCATTCTCCTCCTTCCCATCCCTCACATTCACATCCGCCCCGGCCTTGACCAAAACCCCGACAACCGCCGCATCCCCTTTCTCCACCGCGACGCCCAACGGCACCCTCCCCGCCTCATCCCGAATATTCACCTCCGCCTTCGCCCCCACCAGCGCGGTGACAATCGCCAGACGAACTCCGGGATCTTCAATACTCCCGACGGCATACATCAACGCCGTCTTCCCCTGCCCATCCGCCGGTTGCACGTCAACCCCGACCCCGAGCAACCGGGTCACGACGGCCGCGTGCCCGCCCTCGACCGCGGCGCTCAGCGCCGACAGCCCGCCGCGGGCCGTCTCGCGCACATTGGGGTCGACAGCCCCCGTGCCCAGCAGGAGTTGCAGGACCTTGTCGTGGCCGTGCGCGGCGGCCCAGAAGAACGGGGTGCGGCCGAGCTCGTCGCGGCTCTCGAGTTTGACGCCTGGGGTGCCCAGCAGGAGGGTGACGATGGTGTCGTAGCCTTGCGTGGCGGCGAGGAAGAGGGCGACTTCGAGTTTGTCTTTGGGGGGCGGGGGGTCGGCCATTTTTGCTTGTTGGGGTGTATGTTAGGGTGTAGAGCGTAGTGTGGCTTTAGGATAGTCGTAGTATGTAACACCGTGCGATGTATACCCCGTAGACAGACCTGAGTCAGAACGCAAAGTAGTCGAGATCACAACAAGAGGAGGCAAGAAAAGAGGCGAGGCACCCCAACAACAAGAGTAGCGCTTGACCCAACCGGACGTAGGCACAAGCAAGTGGGCAAGTGACCACAGACTACAACCCTCACCCCACACAGCTGAGCTGTTGCTATTAGTAAGTGCCCCGGATCAACTCCGGATAGCGAGCTTCACAATCTCGTGAACAGAAGAAGGGGGCAAGAGCAAGCATTGATGGCAAAACCACCTGCAACGCCTTTCCTTCCTCCCCAACACGCTTGCTCACGCTCTCAAGCCCAAGCCCAAGCCCAAGCCGCAGCCCCGCAGATGATGTTGATGGATGGGTGTACAGTACACCTCACACACCCTCACCCCTCTCCAAGCACAGCACAGCACAGCACCACCGACAATATAAGGCAGCGAGTCGCAGCCAGCAGCGACAGTGCAGTAGTAGCAGTAGCAGCAGCAGCAGCACAGCCAAACAACCCCACCAGCCAACGCGATGCGTCCCGAGTCACAAGTCTCGCGGATCGAAGTCGAGTACGAACTCGCTTATATACGGAATGTATAACTAACTCACTGAATCCAGATCGGGATCCAATTGATCAGTAACAATAAGCATGGAACATCAAGCATGTACTCTCAAAAATAATAATGAAACAAGTGAAGAAGAAAGAAGACCCAAGGGAAAAAAAGAAGAAAAGAAGGAAAAGAAGGACAGAACGTGGTCACCAACCCACCCCGGCTACCCTACCCTGCCCTACGCAACCCACGCAACCCAACCCCAACCCAGCCCCAACCCTTCACTTCACCAACCAACCCACACCCCCCGGCTAGAGACCACATTTAGCCTCATGGGGAATTCGCTTCCCTGCCCGACAAGACAGGAGAAAGAACACCATGGCCAACCCCGCTATCTTCTCCAATGCCTGCACGCAGCAGCAGCAGCAGCAGCAGCAGTGAAGTGTACAGTACGATACAGCAAGCAAGCAATAGACCCGCAATCTGCCAGGCCACGTGTGCCCTAATCACTGGTTGGAACTTTTGGGGGTGTGGTTCGTGCTACGCGATTCCCCTCGAATTGCCTCCCTGGAAGAAGTCGAGCTCGAGCATGGATCATGGGTTTGATCCGGGGGCTGGTTGCCGTGCTATGAGTACTAAGGTAGTTTAGCTTGGGTTGGGATTTGGGCGGGTGTGGTTGCCGTTGGACATCGGATTGCGGATTGGGGATTGGGGAAGGGATGGGGGGTCCTCGGGTCCGGGGGGCTCCGTGTGGCGTGCTTGATTTTCTTATTAGGGCACGTACTGTAAGTACAGTACTGTGCAGTGCAGTGCTATGGTGCAGCGGGTACTTTCCCAGAGACAGAGATTGGGGTGGTGATTGCTGAATTGGATGGATTGCTTTGGTGGGAGGAGGGATAGGAGGGCGGGTGATTAATTGATTACTACTTCCGAGCAGAACATAGGGTTCCAAATTCGAGAGAATGTCGGGATGAGGGGAAAGGAGGGGGAGGACATGTCAAAAAAGGCAAATGTCGCTGCAACTGCCATGCCATGCCATGCAGCGGCTGCTGCTCCCTTGCAAAGCTGCTCCGAGTCTTCCCAACCTTGCACGCAATACGGAGTAGAATACCTAGACTACGCTGTACTCCACTCAATGAACAATCCAATCATTCAATTCGATGGGACTCCCCGTTCGTCATCCAACCACGCATGCATAACACTTCATACATACATACATACAAAACGCCCATGCTATGCAACTTCAACGCAGAAACTGACAATGACCCACAACGCCGTGCCTGCACTGGGCTTGAATTCAATTGTAGTAAAGAATCGAAAGGAAAAAAACGGCAACCAATGGAGTATAGCACACCAGCATCAACTACCCGGCTGACGATTGCCGGTGTAGACACCCTCGAAGTCTAATCCATCAAGCATCCCGTTGACCCGGTCTATCTCCCGCGTGAGATCCTCGACATTCATCGCCAGACTGCTGACCTCATCGAACTTGCGGCGTCGATTCGCGTCGGCGATCATCTCCGACACGAAGAACTTCTGTTCCTCGAGCACCATCAGCCGCTCCCGGAGGGCTTTCTCCTCCGCCTCCAGCGCGGAGACAGCGCTGCTCGTGTCACTGGCGAGGCTGCTCGTGCTGGCGCTAGCTGCGATGCTACCATATTTGATGGACGCCAGAGCGGACTCGGGACGTCGAGGGCTGCCGATGGGCCCTTGACTCGGACTCCCGGGGGTACTACTGGAGCCAGGCAGTCGTCCATTTCCATTGGGAGTGGCATGTTTGAGCAGCTTGGGAAGCGTCTTCAACGGCAACATATGTAGATGCAGGAAATTGCTTGCCTGCTGATAGATGGCCTTCTGCAGGCGCTGTTGTGTGGGCGACTCCGTCGGCATATCCCGGATCCGTCTGGCCGCGACATCATACTGGGCGAACGAGTCCGTGAGTCGTTTACGGACCTTGGAAGCTTCCGCGATCTGTGCTGATGAGGGCGGTCGTCGAGGATCTCTACCCACAAAAGTTAATGACTCCCTTCTAAGACCAGCGCAAACTGCTATAGTGTACATACTGCAAAGTTGTTAGGAGCTTCTGAAACTTCGGTAACAAGAGCCGAATGCCTCTCTCGAACTGTGTGAGGTTCTCATAAGCCCTCACAGCTGGGGGTTTCCGGAGGAGTTCGGCCTCAAAATCGCGTCGATCGAACAAGGTCGAACGACAGTCCTTGCATAGCCTGACATCTACATTGATCACGCCGGCGCGATCTGACTTCTCCGCGGGTGTGGTAGCGACTGCCGACTCTGCCGACATCAATCTCTGTAAGCTAGTATTCCCCAATGACGGATCACAATGGCAACGTACGGGACGATATACTCAGAGGAACCTCGGTGGAACAGGCCGTTGCAGGATCACCGCATACAACCCGTCCGCAAGTTCTGCAATGATGTCTGCGGAAAGAGTAGCTGGAGAATTCCTGCTGGCAAAAGGGACAGCGGAGGACGCTTGCATCGTCCTGCCAGCTGACGATAGTCTGCTCCAGAGCTTTCCGCTGGTCGCCCTGCCACGAAAGCGACCACAGTTTGTTGGCGTTCGATTGGATCTGATCCACCGGCAAGCTCGCCAACAATTGTGTGAGTCGCGTCAGACGTTTCTCCAGACGCGAAACCTCCAGCAGCGCCTTGTCGACCGTATGTTTCCGGACAGCCTTGAATTCATCCATCCGGTCTCGCGTCAAGCCTATTTCCAACCCAGTCAGCCTACCGAAATTCCCGCTCCCATTACCACCAGGAGTCGAAGATTACCAGTATGATCGTTATACCCCTCCCTGGACTTGTAACAAGTCTCACAAACCCGACACCACAGACCCCGGACCGGCTCATGCTGCGCCGATCTCGACAGCTTCATCTGATACATCGTATGCTCCTCGCAGAACAGCTTCCCGCACTTGCGACAGTTGACGCAGCCATTCGTCGTGTTCAGCCGCTTCCCGCACGACGGTTCCAAGCACGAGTCGTACAGGGTCCGACCCTGCCAATGTTCCTTCGTAATGATATTATCTGGATCGAGCGGTCTCTCCGACGACGGCGGCGGTGGCGGCAGATGATTCGCATGTGAATGGGTTGATGCGGTCGGGCCGGACGACGACGCGCGACTCGGCCCCGCGAAGGGCAGCTGGAGGTTCTCGTTCGATTCGAACACGTCGAGCCCCTTGAGTTTCTGGTTCAACACCGCAAGAGGTTGGAACCGCTTCGCTTTGTCCATCTGCGTCTTGAACCAATCTTTGACTTCGTCTTGCCGATCATCTTCCAGGTTTTGGTGTACGTCATCGATGTGTCTAGCGGAGAGCAGGAGGGAAATTGGGATTAGCTGTGTGGCGCCGATCAACGAAGGTAGCGAGCGTTGAAGTACCTGTTCAATTGTAGTAGTGTCACCTAAGATTCCAAAATCTGGTCAGTCTGCCGGCACTCGATGGGGGGAAGGGGAAGGGGAAGGGGAAGGGGAAGCATCGCTGCCATACCATCTCTTCACTGCAAATCGGACAGACCAGCTGAGCTCCGGCAGCCGCCGGAGCGGCAGGTATCGCGGCGGAGGCATTTTCGAGGGAGATGCGCGAGGTCAGATCTTGGGCTTCGGACGAGAATTGAGAAGTGGACGCCTGGGAACTGAGGGAAAGACTGCTGGCGGAGGGCGATAAGACAAGGTTCCTTGGATGGTTCAGTTGCGGAGACGGGATCGCAGCAGCGGATGGAGAACGAGCGTTCGCGGGGCCTAGAACACGACCTCCACCCAGCGTCCTCCGGGACATTTTGGCTGGAGACTATGAGCGCATGAGAGACGGAAGCCCACGTGGAGCGAAGGAAAAGGAGAGGAACAAGAAGGAGCAGTAAAAGAAGGAGAAGTGAGTTGTCGCCAAAAGGGGGGTGGGTGAATGGGGAGGGGGGACGGTTGTGAGAGGGAGAGAGCGTCAGTCCAGCGGCAGCCTTGCCCGAAGGTGGAGCTTCAAAGGGGGGGAAGGTGACAGACGGAGCCGGAAACTGGCTTATCGTTCGCCGGCCGGCTTGCATACCTGAGGCACAAATTCATAGGTTATACACAACTGAAGAATGATCCAATCTGTCACATTCCATTGAGTTTTACACTTACTCATTAAGCAAGTGTCTCAATCACTACGTCAATCCATAATCCACGCAAAATTCTTCTATGACTTCATTTGTTCTATGAACACATTCCTATGGCCGACCATAAGGGCCCTACTCACTAATCAGCATAATAGTATATATCTAGACAGGACATAATCATAGAGGTCTCTCTAATGCACGCAACACCCTAAATTGTTTCCAAGCCTCCTCATGCCTTTGTCTCTGTCTGCTGCTCCAACGCCTCCAGGCGCTTGCGCTCCGCCTCACGCTGGAGCTGATCCGGCCGGCGAATAGCGATATCCTTCGGCCGGAAGTCACTGAACAGTCGCTTGAGCACGTTCTCAATGATCCAGCATCCAGCGTAGTCGAAGACCATCAAAACAGTCAGAGTAGCCTTGAACTCAGTGCTGAAGGGAACAAGGCGCAGCTTCTCGTTCAGTTCCGGAACGAACTCCGTGGCGCAGGAGAAAGCGACCCCAGAGGCAGCTACCAGCCCCCAATACATCGCCTTGTTCTCACGAATCGACTCTCTGAAGGGACGGCCCTGGTAGTTGATCGAGAAGGTCGAAATCTGCTGGATGAGCTGAAGCAGGTAGATGGCGCTGTTAAGAAGCGACGGCTCGAACTCTCCCTCTAGATCAATATCGGATTGTCTCCTATTACTAATTAGCATTTCTCTGCAACCTTGTTGTTCGTAATAAATGGAGTAACTCACGGTTCGATTGAGTAGACGTAGTTCGACAGATAGATCAAGGTAACAATGTGAATAGCAAATTGACCAAGCACAGAGCCGATGATGTAGACGTTGAAGATGTTCGGTTGCGGACGTTCCTTGGACAAGCCTTCCACAGACTATTTCCAGGAGTTAGTAAAGCAAAGATAAAGGGTTGTATGCATCAAAAGTGACTAACCTTCGCCCGGGAGATGGAAAGGAAGCAGACACTCATCAGCATACCGCTGATGGTGACTTGACCGTCACCAAACTTGATGCCGTCCAGGTAAATGACACTCAAACTGTATGCACTGATCAAGCAGTTCAAGGCGAGAATCTTGTACATCTGGATGGTCGCAACAAGGGTGCAGCGTCCCTGACGAAGAATGTTAGGGATAGCGATAACATTGGCAAGCTTGCTGGTGAACGGAGCAGCGACCGAGGCGTCTCCGAGCTTCAAAGTCGGGGGTTCGTTGTCATCGAGTTCTTGTTCCATCATGGACGTGGTGAGCTTGTCAGCGAATCCAGCAGCAGACACCGCCGCCTGTTGCCGCCGCTGTTGTTCGGGGGTCAAATTGGCGTTGGACTGCTGTAGGGCTTGGGCGCCAGGCGAGGTAATGGTCGGAATTGCTTCTGCCTGGGCCTGCGCACCTGGATTGGCGGCGCCCTTGCGCTGCGCTTCACGATCGATAGCCTTCTGGTAGTGGGGGTTGCTGGGACCAGGGGGGTACAAGTGGGCGATCTGAAGAGGAACAGGCGGAGCGGGCTGGTTGAAACGTTGCATCATACCAACCTGCTTCTCGTAGATTTCCTTCATCTTGGTAGTTCGGTAATGGTCGGCGATTCTTTGAAGATCCTCAGGGGAACCGTTCAGAAGGGCAACGCCAACATGAGCTTGCTTCAGAGCACCAACGTCGTTGGTACCATCACCACACATCAGAGTCGTGTAACCAGCATCCTTAAGACCCAGGAGAATATCTTCCTTCTGCTTAGGAGAGACACGGGCGTAAACCCAAGTGTGGCGAAGAAGATCGGGCAAGGCCTTCTGTCCCTTGAACTTAGCCAAAGCGTAGCCCGTGACACAGATGTCCTTGGTGTCCAGGATGCGACGGTCGAGGGCTTGGGTAGGATCGACATCAATGTTAACTTTGTCATCAATGCTCCGCCAGACCAGCTTTGTTCCAGACTTGTCATTCTCAGGAGCATCGAGGATCAAAACCTCACGGTCCACAATTTCGACTTGACGCGCAACATGGACGGCAGTCAGCGGGTTGTCACCGGTGATCATAACAACACGATGGCTACTCTCGTTAAGCATGCGGACCGCCTTGATGGCATCGTCCTTAAGAGGGCACTGCAAGACGAGGAAGCCGGCAAAGGTCAAATCAGACTCAACATCCTCACGGGTGTAGTTGTTGATGCGTCCGCGAGAAAATTCGGACTCATGGGAAAGATACTTGTAAGCGAGAGCAAGGACACGGGCACCGTTACGGGTGAAGTACTTGTAAGTCTCTTCGTAACCCGGAGGAGTATCAACAAGCATGGTACGGATAGTCTCAGGAGCACCTTTGACACCCACAAAGGTAGACTTGACCTTCTTGTGGGCCTTGCGATCATCAAGGACAACAGTAGCAATCGTGCTCTGGCGCTTAAGCGCAGAAGAGAACTGGAACCGCCTCACAACTTGAACGGACTCGGGAACAACGGGACCAGTGGCAGGCGTGGCCTTACCAGTCAAGGTATCGTTCTTGCCGAGGGTCCAACCGAGCCACTTCAGAGTAGCCTTCTCCATGGGGTCACCAACCACTTCACCCTCATCGAGTTTGACCAGGGCGTGAGCACTGGCGAGTACAAGCGTAGTGTCGAGTCCGATGTTACCACCCTTGGCCAGCTCGGTGTGCGCGCCGTCCGATTCAACCTTAGCACCGGCGTGACCAAGAGTAAGCCCAGCAACACCGTCAACAACAAGATCTTCACCGGTCAGTGTGCCGGTTTTGTCAAAGCAGGCAACATCGACGCGTCCAGCGAAAGGAATCCGGAAAGGCTCCGTGCAGAAGATGGCGAACTTGCTCAAGGCAGCCAAGCTGGTGTTGACGGCAAGACTAAGTTCCATGGGTAGTTCGGGAGGGACGACGCTGGTGATAATCAAGACACAGTCAAGAAGAAGCTTTGACCTCTTGCGGTCCTGCGCAACACCCTCCTGCCAGACGTACCAAGAGGCGGCGATGGCGAAAATGAGAAGGAACAGAATGAAAAGCAGAGCTTCCGCATTGTTGGCAGAGACGCGTTCAGTAGAGTAGATCATCGTGCGCACGAGACTACCCTGGCTGGTCTCGAATCCGGTCTTAACGACGACACCGAGCGCGCCAGCATCCGGAGTGGGGAGAATGCTCGAATCATTCTTGTAGACGAGATCCTCAGGGGCGGTGTTTGCATGGGTAATCTGCAGAACCTTAGTGCCTCCGTGAACGAAGGCGTTCTTGTCCAATCCATCAGGCTCAATCAAGTCGTCTCCGGGCCTGAGCTGAACTGATTCCTTCAGGAGAGGTGTGCTCTCCCCAGAAAGCATAGCCTCGTTGACGATGGCGCTGCCCTCGATGAGTAGAATATCACAGGCAACACCGCCATCCTCCTTGGTGCGGTTGACAGACATAAGGTCACCGGGCAAGAGCTTGTCACTGGTGATCTTCTGCCATTTCTTCTCACGGTAGACCCAAACATCGTAAGGCTTGATGTTCATACCCCGGAACTCACTGAGGGTCCTCTGCCGTTGCCAGACAACCGTGCTCTCGAACATGACGAGCATGAAAAGCGTGAACAAGGAATAGTACCAGTATTCATCCAGCATCCACAAACCGACACAGAAGATCTGGAAAACGAAGAAAGGCGCGACTGCGTGCTCCTTCCAGAGCTCAACGAAACCGGGAACGGGGATGTCGAAAGTGTTGTCTCCATAGTGGTGGCGAACGCGCTCAATTTCTTCCTTGGTCGTGAAGCCCTGGCTCTGCTGAAAGAACTTGAGTGCAGGCTTGGGCTCTGCATCAAGAACGTACGACAGAGGAGCGAAGGACTTAGTCTCTTCATTGAAAAGAAAACGGCGCTTCTGGAACAAGAACGAGATCGTCTTCTTTCCACCACGAGTGTCAACGACCAGCGGACAGATCTCAGCGGAGCCAGCGTTGGCGGCCGGGATGACCTTGATAAGACGGGCAGAATCGACCGACCGGGCCTTGGTAGCGGTAAATAGGGTTTGGATATTAATATTCCATTTTGTCATCAGCCAAAGGAGTGACTGCGCCGTGATGATCGAGCCAGAAAAAACGAAGGTCCATTCCTGGCCTTGGATGTAGGCATCGTATCGCTCAGGAGACAGGTAGAAAGCGAAAAACGCCGGCCAGATAACCAGGAAAGGCCAGACGTAGGTGTGTAGCTGTGTGGGAAGGGGATTGTGAAGCGATGCATATTTGATCTGGTGATCATCCACGAGTCTCGCCCTATGGTCAGACATGCGTGTTAGTAGATGAATGTGGATAAATGCAGGCCAAAGAAGGCGAAACTAACATGATGACACTCGGATGACCACGACGCGGGTCAAACGACGCGAACTTAGGAAGTTGGAAAAGGCCTCTCAGTAGATGAGCATAGGTGGTGAGACGCCTAAACCATGGAATCCGGGCTGCTGATGTCGAGCCGCTGTCGCAACGAGAGATGAAGACGAAAGCACGAAGAAGCCACCTCAACGGTATAAATTTGGGGATTTCCTCGCCGCCGGAAGCTGGAGGTACGGAAACCCCCGTCGGTGGTTACGATTGGCCGCCACGTGCCCGCACGGAGCTGGGATTTTCCCGGCCGCTCTGATAAGAGATGATGCAATTCCCCATCCTGGATCCATTGACCTCCACACAGCTTTGTTCTCTCTGCGACCAGTTCGATCATACGAGTACAACGGTAAGGGTCCAAAGTACCAGGCTGGGGTATATCTGATTGCCCTGCGAGCCGCCCAGGGCAGCTATAGACCACATTTCTCAATCCTCCATATGTCTCTTCCGGGGTATATGCAACATGTGCGCTAACTAGGCATCGATAACTGCATGCTGATGTTCGGCCCAAAAATGTCACTACTATACTTTGGATGTATCAATCCTGATCTGTAACGAGTAGATTGCAGCCAGACAAACCAACAGACTCTTAATACATCCTCAGGCTTGACCACAACATGCCGACTTGATTCGTTGCCCACGCTAGATTGTCGCGTGCATGGATAACCGCTCGGGTTGCTGTAGATCGATACGATATATCTACTACTGAGTCGTAGCCATAAATACCTAAAGTGAGCAAGGCTGGGCGCGGTGAACAGCCTCCCGATGAGCCTGCTGAGGAGGACAACCTCCAAGGGAGCACAGAGTCCTCCCGAGCTCACGTTTGGTGTACTCAGACCGCAACATCAGAGCTCTACCGGCTGATAGCGGCTGGGGCACTTCTAATACTGACTGGCGTGCCGCGCGTTCAAGGTCCGCAATGAAGGTACAAGCTCGGTCCTCAGATCCGTGTCCATCATTCTGCCGTGCAGCTTGTGTGGCTAGGTCATTAAGGAACTGCGAGACCTGACTCATGAGGACAACATCGTCCGTCGCAGTTTGTGCGCTTGGATTTGCCTGGATATTCCAGAGAATCGTTTGCATAGCGATTATGGGTAAGAATACGACGAGCCTGGAAGACCTCAGGTTAGAAGACGCAGCGAGAGATAAGAATCCAATGGTCAGCGGACGGGTAGGCCTTTGTTCAGATTGCGTACCAGAAGACCTTAGGTTTCAAAACCTGCTTCACTGCTAGCAGAAATTGCAAGGATGAACGACAGGCAGACACAGAAATTTCTAAGCTTGTACTGACTCCCTCCAGCTCTACTTTATGCCGGAGACTCCATGACTTGCAGCGAGTGCTTGCCAGATGGACATAAGCCATTCTTCCAGCTGACCATCCAATGTTCGGATGGCCTGCAAAATCTCCCCATCACTTTTTTCGAGGGCTCGTCGAGAGTACAAAGCAGTATAAGCCCGGGAGCGGATCTCCGTCAACCGGAGATCGCCGGGAAATAGAGGCCGTGAGTAAATGTCTGCTTCCATGGTAAATTGAACATAATCCTTGTAGCCTCCAGGAAGACTCAGGTCACAATTGTGTTCGGATAGAAACGGTGGCTGTTCGGTACGCCGACAAAGTTCTTTATCGAAATGATAGCACAACCAGAAAAGGTTTCGAAGATGCGCGTCTACCCTAGTCCCTAGCTCACTCGAATTGGTGAAGAGCGACGCGCGCTCGAAGCATGCCTTGGAATGGCCTCCAAGAAGGAGTACTACTTGAAAGGCGAAAGTGCTCCACATGACAGCCATTCGAAGTTTTCCCGAGAAAAGATAGATGACAATCATGATGACTGATGTTTGCAGCAGGTCTAAGTCGGGCTTTTGCCCTATGTGCATTGAAGTCTCAATATAATGCAAAACGCACAAACGTTCAGTTGGCGATGTCCGATGGCCTGCGTCTAATTGATGTATTGACATGAATAGAATGCAAGGAAAGCCCAGACGCAGAGACAAGCAGACTTCCTAGCCCCTCGCCCACGGGGATCAGTCTCATAAGCATACGATACAGTTTGGTCGAAGAGAACGGGGTCTAGTATCGGGAATATGGAGCTATAAATCGCAGAGTAGAAGTCAACGGCCAGGGATTTGATCACATCATGCTCAGGTAGACTTGTTCGGTCGATTCAACTCGATTCAGGATTCAGACCGGGGCCAAATTGTGCAACATTCTCCGAGGGTGGAGAGTCAAAAGACTCAATGGTCGGTAATGATTGTCTGGAAGGCTGGCTAACCTGCGTGCCCGATAATGCAGGTATGGTCTCTGAAGATGATGAAAACGAGGCGCTCCCTTCAGTTATAGGGATTTTGCCACTCAAGTGCGCCGGAGAGTGATTTCGAGGTTTACTAGGCGGTAGGGTAGAATCTCCCACCACATCATTATCAGACGCATTGATATGAGGTTCTAATGTGACACTCAATATTTGCGGTACTTGAAATTAAACGAGACAGCTCGTGCTCTGTGCTTGGGCAAGCTTGTGAAGTGAAATTCGAACTGACCGTTTTGAGAGCTGCTAGCATTTTCTCGTGGCTGCTAAAGACAGTCACGTCAGCGCATACTTGAGGAGCCAAGTAGGGAATCTCCCCATGAATCACTCCAATGACCCTCAGTTGAAAGAAGCCGTGGTATTGATATAAGAAATCCACTCGCATGTAATTGCGACGTCTCTTGCGTTGCCTATCATATAGACAGGGGACGTCCTGATGAGTGCACCAATTGCACCGGGGTTGGGCCGCATCGCATTTTATCTATGCACCATGAGGCTTGGCTGATAGACATCATGTACTAAGTAGATAGCTTACCTTTTGCCGATGACATCTATCACAAGCGTGTGAAACCCGTGTTCTACCTACTTTTTCTCCGAAGGCGAGAGAAACCACCTTGAAGCCGGAATTCATGTTGTTGGGGCGCATCCGAGAGTAGCATTCTGTAAAGCCGTTAGCGCAGGAACAGGAACCCCCTACAATTCTTTTCGGGAAGCCGAAGCGTACCGGATCATGATCTCCATCCCAGCCCACGAGATCGGGATTGCCGCTGGAAATACGTTCTTTGCCTATGCTTGCATCGCCCAAGAACACCTGGGGTGGCGGAACTGAGTCGGGCCTGGGACTAGCCATGAAATTATAGGTTGTTCTTAATTTGCATTCGGGTTGGAAGACCAATTGCCTATCGTAGGGGGAATTCCAAGCTTGGATGATAGACCGTGATAGAGAGAATGCCGCCAAGACTTCTGAACGCCGAAGAGCAGCCCTACTCTTATACCCGTGGCAAGTCCGAGGCAGGCTACAACATTGAGGCAGAATTCTCTGCTTGCACAGGGGTTGGTCTCCACCGATCAAATTCGCCGTTCCAAGGCCCGATAGGAACCCTGACATAACAAGGCGCAGGAGATGACCTCCCGGCGCATCCTTCAGGAAGTAAGACTTTAAACGAATGCTCTCAAGGCCTGATTCATCTAGAGCGTCTTGGAGCATCTGCTCCCATACTATGTTTGTTTGAATTCAAGACCGAGTTGAAAGAGAGAGAGAGAGAGAGTCGATCCCAAGGGACTTGCGTTAGCCAAAATGCACACTGGAAGCGACCCCAGTACCCAAGCCTTAGTACATTATCACCTGTTTAGTTGATTCCGGTAGTTGGGAGCAAGTCGGTTCAATTCAAGGTTGAATCGGTTCAATCAACCCACTCCTCCAATCAGGGCAGCTGCTTGTATCAACTTCACCGAGTGCGTCAAGAACTGCTGAGGTAATCGGCATTTTACCTTTTCGAGACCGGCAAAGGCGAAGCCTTGGAGAAGCTTTCGGACGAAACATGACATCACTTATGTGCGAATGAAGGATATATGCATCAGTCTAGGCCCCCCAAACTGGCCGTCGATTGCAAGCACATGCACTAATCGATATGCTCAGTAGCTTTCGGAAGCTTACATGCCGACTCCCAGGCACTCTCCTACATAGCTGTCTTAGTAATCTTGGCTGTATGCTTGATTGTTATTCTATGAAAGTAAAAGACTAGGGCTTGTCCGAGTAAGGTATACCTACTACGTACTAACAGGAGGTCGTGCAGACACACAGAAATATCATAACGGTAATTAAATATATCGTAAGTAAACTGCCGGTAGCAGGAGAGATCCTATACAATGTCTGAGGTCACCACAAAAGACTTGTGTATATTGACCCCATTCATGCGCTTAGGCTTCGGGTTGAGGTCCTCCTGACTACTGTGCGGGCTCCCAGCCGAGGTTTGTATAGTCGTGACCACGCCCTGAGAATCTTCCGGATCGAGATCCGGCCGCCAGTATTTCGTCGCGTTGCTCTGTGAGGGGTGGGTTGCATGGCCGATCGAGCTCGAAAGAGGTATGCTACCCCCTGTTTTCTTGCTACGTGTGGCGCCATAGCTGGCATCACCAAGCCAGCGAAAGAGAGGACGCAGGGTTACAAGACACCCTGCCGTGATGCCAAGGCCAGCCTCGACATTGGACCAGATCGAGATCTGCGCTGTAGCGTCTGAAGAAAATTCTAATAAGTAATCTATGTGGCTCTCGTGTGGTGTGATATCGAAACTTACAGAGGAACTCCTTGTCGTTGTAAGTAGGCAGAAAAGGTATGCGTACAATCACAGCTGCGCTGGCTCTATCGGCTGATTAGTTCATGGCTGACTATTAGGCAATGAAGGTTTATCCAAGAGTACTCACACGCAACCCATACTCAGGATCCCTGCCAGCGCAGCCTTGGTTCTTGTACTCATTTGCAAGTTCCAGACTAAAAAAGCAGGTAACAAGCCCAGAATCAAGTCGCAGACCATGGCTGTTACACTATACAGGTAGGCGATATCGATGAGGTAGTCGATAGAGATGCAGGTCCCAGTGGAATGAAAACGTCGCCAAAAGTAGGAAACCGGCTGGCATTCTAGAGTCAACATGAACCAGAACACCAGGCCCACGACAATCGAGATGGCAACGACAAACCACAAGAGCATCTTGTGTATCCGTGAGACGGTAAGCCGGAAGAGAGTCAATGCAATGGAGACCTTGGCAACAACTACCGTCACGACATAGCTTGTTTGACCTAACCACCACCACTGAAAAACATTAACTTACTTTGCCGTTTGGAAAAGGGTATTCTTAGATCACATACAAACAAGGCGGTTTCTAACGTGTCTTGGTCAAGCCACTCGAGTTTTTGGCCCATGCCATACACTGACCCGGTGATACCACATAAGGCAAATAGAATCTCCAGCGCCTATGGTGGATCAACTCATGATTAGCATGATTCAAGAAGAAAGCCACGAGGATGGCAATAGCAGCTAGCCACATACCATGGCTAGAACCATCAATGCATCGTCCCATCCGAATGCGCGCACCAGTCGCAGTCTCACGAAACATCGTAAGCAGACGGAAATGAAGGAAAGTCCGAGGAAGACCACGGTAACAACGAAGATGGGCTCGCTGCGACCTTTGAACTCAACCATTGTAAATTGTCTGTGAGGTGAGGTCAATCACGACTGAGGATAATAATCTAGGAGCCGATGACATAGTCATCTCAAAGCGGAAAAGCAACCATCAAGGAAGCGAGGAAAGAGAGAGAAAGAGAGGCGGTAGCAGCACACGAAATATTGCACTGCAGGTGCCGGACGATAGCACTTTAAGGGGAGCAGACTGGCTGCATAAGATGAAGAAGCTTCTACGCTAAGGAGTCGGACCGGGTCGGACTGTCTGACAAGGCATGGAATGGAAGGTTTAGTGAAGAGTGATGGGGCATGGACCCAGTGGCAAGGAAGCGACTCTGAGGGTGAAAGAGTGACACATGGATCCCAGCAACTGCAGCTTGGGTGGGGAAGGGTTACCTAGGCACGTTCTGAACTCCGAAGGTGACCCCTCTATGCCATCATTTCTAGTGCCTAGGGCCAGGAATAGACTTGGCAGAAGCTGAAGACCCATCGGCAAGCTTGAGTGAGGTTCAGTCATGAGAAGCCCTTTCAGCAATGGCCAAAATAGGCTGATCGGCACCGGTCTAGCAGTGCCAAAAGATGGCTCTGGGGCAATCTCTAAGCATTCAGAATATCCACCTTGCCATGAAAGGAAAATGTAGTCAGTAGTCCACTTCAAGGTGCATTGCATTGGTTCGGGTGGTTCATCACTCCACCTGTCTCTGGAGTCTGGACGGGGTTACTTCCAAAGGTGGGGAGGGGAGAAAGGGAACCTCCTCCAGGCACGGACACCTTACTACAAACGATCCTAGTAGCATCAATGCTGACAACTTGAAGACAACATGCAGTAGTTGCTAGACTATTCCACTGTCTACGTTTCTAGGAGTCTAGGCTATGGTCTACCATTGGCTCGAACGATTGGTGTCTCGAACCTTTGGTGCCGTAAATATGCGGCTTGCTGTGCGATGGAACATTGAGTACTAGCTTGCCAGTGGAGGTCAGCTAGACATGCATGCAGATGGGTACCAAGAAGCGCACCCTGCAGGGGACACACGCGGATGATCCAGACCTGATTGCCATGTTATAACAGGCTCCTGGACCTAAGAACGTGAGGAACGACGTTGTGGAAGTAAGGTTGTATTTATGATCGCAGACATAGAATAATTCTGGAGTAAATAGAGACTGTTCCTTAACAGGGGGCCGATAGGCTCGGGTAGGGCAAGTGAAGTCTAATCCTCTACCATCCATGGAATTGAACAGCAACTAACTAACAGATATCCACTGCAAATAAAGGTCCTGTCCGTTCTCCTGGGACAGCCTTGACCAGAAATAGATCTTGCAGGATATTCTTTCTCAAGCCGCCCCAAGGTACTGTACTTGCAGCAACCAGCCACCTCCATAGCTAGTCCATCGAAGCATATCAAGATGCGCAATCTCGGCAAGTGAATTCACGATTCAGCGCCCGGACGAAAAGTAAACCAGTTTGATCGATCTTGTTCGCACAGGGTAAAGATAGACAGCCCCACTGACGGATGCGACGGATGTTTCATTTCGATCTTCTTCCCTGTCAACACAGTTGGACTGAAATGAAAGCCTATCTTCCGTGACATTGATGTGTGAATGACAAGCTACCGACTTGTGCTGGGATGTTTCCTGATTCAACATATCCTTGATTCGATCCTTTAGCATGATTTGGGACTGTATTCTCCTGTGTGGGTGAGCGGGCTACTTTGACTAATCAAACCACCATGACTCGTGACGGGCGATTGCCGAACGGTCTCCAACCGTCTCAACGTGCCCCTCTTCTGAAGTCCTTGCCGGCAGCACCACTCCACAATTAATTTGAGCCTGCCGATCCAACAAGAGGATCGCATCTGAGGATCTCAGATGCAGTCACACTTGTTTCACCCTCCTCTTCTTTCCGAGTAGGACAATATGGAAACGATCGCATTGTCAACAGGGCCAGTGGCAATCTCTCTTGTGCGATGCACAGTGCTGTTCTATTTGACTTTTCCGTATACGCGTCTGACAGGTGCCAGGTGTCAGCACTTGATGCCAGGGACAATTTCTTCGCCATCTCGCCTAGAACCTGAGCTAGCCTCTAGTGCCGCCGAGCTTCGCAACACCCTATCATCATTCGCCGGGAGAAGGGAAAGCCATGTCATCGTGCACAATTTCCCCCTTTCTCTCAGTCCCTTCAATCGATGATTCGGAGGAGGGTACCCATTTCCGGTCCTGCTCCCGTGGAACATGGCGGGAGCGGCGTCCACGAACCATAATAAGCTCGGCTATCAACTTTGCATTAGTACCACTATACGTATGCTGATAACTGTGTTCGGCATCGGGAAGTCTCGCGTGCACTGTTGTCCTGCTTCCAGGATCTCCCCTCGAATAAGGCGGGCACTGAAGCCTGGGTGTCAATCCTAATCCACAGTTTACCGATCGAAAGAAAGCAAATCTCGATGAGCAGAACATCAAGGTACTGCATGTTTCCAGGGTGGTACAACGTCGGTACTCCCCTCCTCTTATCTGACATGGAAACTTGAGGTCACTGTCAATGTCACATGCTAGGTAGGCTAGGCCGATCCCCACCTCCTGAAACGGTCGTTGCTTGAATGCACGTTTCATCTGTCATCGCTTGAACTGTCAAGACAATGCCTTAAATGCTATTGTGAGCCACCCGGTGGAGTGATCTGGGCTCTATACTCTGATAGCATACAATGCTATGCTCCAAGAGTGCGCGAGATCCTTCTCTAAACTCACACCAACGCTTAGGTTTGTCACACGTGCAACGGTGCTACGCATATACGGAGTACCACCAGAGGCCGGGGATCTGAGTTGGCACTTTTGCCCTATGCAATAGCCACCTGAAGTAGAGGGGTTCGTGTTACCATTGGGTTCCAATTCCCCTCGCTCTAGGCGATGCCAAAGGCGCTGAGAGCTCGATTGTTGCCCTATGGGAGCACAGGTGGTTTCATGCTAGGTTAGATCCAGCTGAGTGCCAGTTACTATAACAGCCAAGTCTTTCACAAGAGTAATCTCGCTGCAGATTCCCAAGAGTTTTGAGAGGGAGAGTAGCATTTCAGGTTGGCGAAGACTGTACCTAGTAGTACAGTAGTCTAGCCCGCGGCCCGCGGCGGCATGCTAGATTACCCAATTGGGACAGCAGCGCAGAGGACGGACCTGATCCGGGGACAGTTCAAGGAAGGTTGGTGCATGCGCCTCCAGCTTCTATCCCGCGTCCAGCCCCCCTCACATGGGCAGCTCCAGAGCGTAGATACTCGCAGCTGCAGTCTCGATTTAATGATTATTCTAGGTCCTGGAAGCCTCCTGGCCAAGTCATCGCCGCTCTGCGCGTGGTTGCTCATGTTATACCTTGCACCCTTGCTTATGGTCTCTGTCTCTCCACTACTCCATCTCTCCATCTACCATCGCATGTACCTTTGGCACGCTTTAGCAATCATCGATCCTGATTACGTGATAGGAAAGGAGCAAACGAAGACATGAGTATAATGTGTAGCATAAGAGTATGTAGAGAGCACAGCGCACGTCAGATCGATCCGGTTGGCCCCAGAGCTGTAAGTTAGCATGTCTCCCCAGGTCAAACAAGGCTTGCCGCTTATTGAACAAAGACAAACATCTGAGCAAGCGCAATCGCACTGAGCGTCATGAGAATTGAATCCCTCATGCACAAATCGAAAACAGCCTGCTGAAAGAAGATATCTGTGCTGACCACCAGCCTCAGAAAATGCATAGGTATAAGTCTCTGCAAGCCAGGTGATTCGTCTGTTGTAGATTCTGAGAAGAGGTCACTGAAGGACAGCATCCACGAGGCCGCCCCCCCCTTCAGCGATCGTTCTGAGACCATAGGCTGATGTAATCCTGTCGGTAATCTCGAAAGAGACACTTCAAGGCCTGTGTCATGCTCTTGTTCACTAGCAGTCGACCGATCGCTGCTCAGATCCCTTCATAAATCGGCTAGGCTTTAATGAGCCGCTCCCCGATCGGTATCTCGCTGCATCATGGCCAACATCTTTTCTCTAATACGTCGATTATTCATCCCCGTCTCCTCGAAAAAGCTTCAGGATTCGGCCTGACAGGGAGAAGAACTCTTCCAGGCCATCATCCACAGTATCTGCTTGTGAGTGCTGATCTTGAAATTGCAGACGGTACTATGATCGGTATCAGTGATAGAATAAATGGAAGGCACGAAAAGCACGCATGACCTTATACTACAGTCGGAAACATCTTGGAACTACGAACCCACGTAGCTCCGCGAGTGGATGCCTCCTCCAAGAGTGCTCGGGGCAGCTGCTAAGCGAACACAGTGAGTATCAAGAGTCAAGACCGGGGTATGGGTCCTTGCTCGAGTCGAAGTTCATCCATCCTTGACGCTACCCCCTCGCTTTTCCACCCAATGTACAATCTCCGCCCCTGCCTGTGTTCCCTCTTACCAGTCATGGTTATATTTGTGCTCGTCGCAGAAGATTGAATAGGATCGACGCATTTTCCGGTGAATCGGGGAGACTTGTCAATCATCTCGTCTTGCTGTATGGCGCTCGCACCGCCAATTTCGTCTGAAACCCAATCGGTCATGCCATACAGATTTGCATTATGGAACTCCAGTTCTTATATGTGCATAGCTATTCAACATGATTTGGATGGTTGGTACCATGCCACAGGAACGAAGCAATTTCATGGTTATGATGGCGGAGCAAGCTCACAAATCGTCCGATACCAATGTCCTCCGGTGATCATCCTGATCACTTGCTCAATGGAGGTATACAAGAGCACCTCCAAAACGAGGATCCCCCCAAGTTTGGGGGCAGTACAAATACGACCAAACCTGCGCAGACCAAATCTTCTCTATAAATAACATGCAAGAAGTCTCAGACTTTCCCGAATAGATGTATGTACATTTCAAAACTGCGCTTTCCTTCATATGCCGAATGTGCCTGACATCAACTAGCCTTCCGAAAGATATCTACCACTTAGCCTGGGGGCTCTCCATGAATGCCTTCAGGATGTTGATCCGCTCCTCAAGGGCCGCAACATAGACATTCAGGTTCTCCTGCACCTGAGCCTGATCATCGCCCAGTCTAGAGTAGAAGTCCTTGCGGTAGGGGCAGGCGGACATGGCAGCGGAGAAGAGGGGCTTGACAACGAAAGAGTGGTGGGGCTTGAGGGTGCCGCCGTAAGCGTTGCGGAAGGAGTCGGCGAGCTCGGTGGAGGCGTTGTTAATGTTGTGGCGAAGAGCTTGGGCGGTGAAGTCAAGTCCTCTGTGAGAGCAACATGTCAGCTTTGTGTTGAAGAGATTGAAGGTGTCGATGAGAACCATGCATCATGCATCGATACATGCGGCTAGGTGTCATGGGCTGAGTGACGGGGAGGGGTAAGTCAAATCTAACCTAACGAGCCAGAGGAGACCCTCGGTGGCGGTGTGCTTTCCGGTCTTGAGCTCGTTCACGACAAGCTCTTGGAGAGTCTGGGACTCAGCGGGAGCAGCCAGGAACCTGTCCCTGACTTTCTGTGATGGGGTTAGACCTGAGCGATGGCTGAATGCGGGGTATGGTTATCCGAACCTTGATGTTGCCGGTGAGGTCAGACTTGACAACGCCGAAAGCCTTGGATTGCATGAGATCTAGAAGTTTGATGTCAGCATACAGAGCTCTGTGATGTGCTGTACCATGTCCAATAACGGTTGCATACCGAACAAGGTGGTCAGGGCCTCAGCAGCATCGAGGAATTCCTGAGTTGAAATGCCGTTGGCGGTGATGGGAACGTCCGCGAAGGACTTCTTGCCGTCGAACCAGGTAGCCATTTTTGTGAAAGTAAAAAGGTAGAGTGTATATTGTAAGTACAAAAGAACACAGTGAATTGTAGGGAGGTAAATAGAGAGAATGTGAGTCGAGTGATCAGGGGTTGGGGGACTTTATAAGGCAACGTGGAGGGGAGGTGGAGGGCAGCTCATCAACAGCCCACGGCGGCCTGTCACAACTCACCGCCGCAGGGGAGCGGGACACGCAAGCGGTGAGGGTCGAGACCAATAAACAAAGCGGGTCCCTTCGCCCCTGAGTGGTTATGTCAGCCATGGTTTCACCTGAGACAGAGCGTGCAAACATCTGAGCGGGCTATCAGGCATTAAGGCAGCAAGGCAGCTAGGCAACAGGGCATAAACTTGGGAAAGGGGAAGACCTCCAACGAGCGACGTCATCGACTCCGGGCCAAGACTTGTCCCCAGTGTCGGTTCCTGGCCGATGCCAGATCTGCATCTCAACTCCCCCCAGCTTTCCTGGTCCGATTTTAAAAACACCCTTTGTCCTCAAGGACACCCTAGATATCTCGCCGAGGGAGCTCCACTGGAGATGTCATGACTTCTCATGCGCCAACGGAGCAGCATTCCAGTGACGGAATGGCTACCGATCCTCGTCTCGGGTATCATGGCTCCAAATATCGCGGGCTGGATCCCGACTCTCATACTGCAGAGAAATTGGTATGTGCTTACACACAATCCACGTCCCAGCTGCTGACCCAACAAAGCATCATGCCTCTCCCAAACACATACACATGACCAATCGGCGATTCTTCATCGGCCCCATTCCGCAGGGCTGGTTGCAGAATCACCGTAAATCGTGGTGGAGGACAAGACTCAGGCTGAGTAAATACTCTTCAAGGACTGTCACTTTCTCTGCAGATCCCATGGTCGCACGTTACACCGAGGAGTACGACAGTGATGATTATGAATCCTCTCCCGAAGAAGAGTCAGCTGGTCTGGCCGATACCACTGAAGACGAAGCAACAGAACGAGAATCGGAGGACGAAACCAGGGATCGTGAGCCCCGCCCGCGAAAGAGCCTACGGACTATTCCCTACACACTCTCTGAAGACAATGGGCACGAGGTTTCGCGGACGACTACTGCAGACACAAGCCGATCAACTTCTAGCGAATCAGCGAACCACGAAGGCGCGTCTACTCGAAGACAAGACGGTGGCTCTGCTTATTACACGGCCCACGAGCGCGGCCCAAGCGATGCATCCTTGGAACCCAGCAGGATGGAGTCGGAGCAACCCACGCGGGAACAAGACAGGCAAACGCTACAGGTTCCTAGCCAATATGCCGAGAGTCAGTCAAGCCCCATGATTCCTGCTAGCGATCATGGATCCACAACTGGGTTGCTAAGGCCAGCGTCGCGATCCAAAGGAAAGGGAAGAGCACCGTCTGTGTCGACACCAGCAGATCTAGAGCAGCATGAGCCTCGGGTGGAGAGCGACGAAGAGCAATCAATCCCGCAGGGCAAGCGAGTTAGAAGTAATCCTCTTCACCCACTGCACAAAAAGGCGGTCAGATACAACCTTGATGACAATCTCTTGGACAAACAACAGCGGCTTTTTTCGCGCATATCGAGGACACAGGGAGTCTTGTCACGACACCGACCGCACCGACGCAAAATCCAGGAAGGAGAGGTCCTGAAAGCAGAGAAAATGCTTGTCCGGATTGAGGAAACACTACAGGACAAACTTCCTGATGACTATACAGAGAACGACAGTCTCAAGTCAGAGAATCGGGTTGTGGATCAGTGGCGAGAATACCTCGTGGCGTGTCGAGTGTCTTCCAATCCGGATGCGCCATTCTCTCTCCAGATGTACAAGACTCGTGTCATACCCGAGGTGCAAAAGGCAGGCACGCGGGTGTCACCGCAGTATGATATCCCGCTGGGCCGCAAACGGACCAAGGTAAATCTTTATTCACACCTGGATAAGACAATTGTCATCTGGGGGCCGTGTAAGCGAGGGACGAAGATCTTCATTATACGGCCGAAGTCTGCGGCGCATGCTATGGAATGGTACACTTTCCTGAGCCAGGTGCTAGGCAGGCGCCGTCCATCTTCACTCCCGATATATGTCCCAGACCTTGGAGTATCTCTTGTTTTCAAGAATCCGTTCGAACAATTAGAAGCAATATATTCGAACAAGGGGAAGGGGGGTGTTCTGGGTCGCGCTGCAACGAAGGAGAACTCTGTCGCTACAGCGATCGTGCGCGGTTGCTTGGAGATGCTGGAACACCGCCCCGAATGGGCGGAGGTTCTGAACCGCTGGTCCAAGACTGAGATCATGGGGCTTGCCTGGAAGCGGTATGATCGATTGGAATGGATTTTTGGTACCAATGAAGCGAACATGTACGGCACAATTGCGATGCATACGACCCATGAGCTCGAGCTGCGACCAAGGCAACATTATCAGACGTACGTCAAGCACGACCACGAGAAGGAGGATGAGCCCCCACCAGTAGAGGGCTTTCTTGTACGTCTCACATCGCAGCGTGGTGTACACCAGCGATTGAATAAGATGTTTTTCAAACGACTGTATTTCTTTACTCAGGATCACCACCTGTTTTTCTGCAGACCCTCCAAGTCACTGCCCCCGGCGCCTCCGAAGCTCGACCGCGATGAGACTACCGTGCCCTCAGCGCAGCAGATCTTGGACGCATCGCCTCTTTCTTACGATATCGATCCGTACCCGTTGCAGGACGGCGAGATTACATGGTTATCGAGTGGCAATAAGGAACACATTACCAAATACGACGAGCAGGCTTATGCTCAACAGCAAAGAAACGCCCACAATATTGAGCATGCAGACGGGTTCATTGATCTTAGCCGGGTCAAAGACGTCCGCAATGTGCACCGTGATGCTTGCCCCGCTGACCCCAATCTCGAACATGGGCCCGACGTCGATTTCCAACCTGACGCGACAGATTCGCGCCGAGATGACGGCGCCACGAAGCAGTTTGATGATGAGAGGACGTTTGAGATGCTCCTGCACAATGACCTTGTTGTTCGGTTCCAGGCGTACGATGAGATCACCAAGAATGAATGGATGAAACGACTTGATGCTCTGGTGAAATACTGGAAGGTCCGGCTGGCGACCGATGCAGCGGAGCTCAAGGTTCTCCGCCAGCGTAACCAAGAACTTCTTGGAATCGATGAGGAGATGGAGTCGATCATGGGGCAATTCGCTCGAAAGTGGGAGGTCAAAAAAGCCGAGGCCTCGCCTCTGCTGCACAACATCTGTGCTCTGTCGGGCTGCCGGACAATCAAGGTACATCGCACGCCACCCCAATGGAGAAGCGGATTATTGACTGGAGTTGCAGATGTCTGGACAATTATATCGGAAACCTCGCCGCCACAGCACCTTCAAGCGATGCCATGTTGTCCTCATGGCCGGAAAGTTGTTAATCTTTCGCACCTCCTTGCGGAAGCGCAACGGCGCCGAAGTGCCTCACATACACCACAGCTTGGAGACCACCATCGATCTGGCCGACTGCTATATATACTCGGGTCTTTTGACCGAGTCAGACTTGCTCTACTCAAATCAGACGTTCGACAGCAACCGGCCTGGGCACCACTCCCTCCCGCGAGTTTATCTCGCGACAGACGTCTACACAAGTAGTGACGAGGACACCGCCATCGCATTCGTGATCTGGCAGCCCCTGCGCAGAAACTACTTCCGCTCACGCGAGTATGGGACCAAGGGAGAGAAGCGGCAACGGTTGAAGCAGGTGTCTACGCTGGGGGTGCACGGGCGAACCATCGTCTTCAAGGCGCGCAGCCGTGTGGAGAAAGACCGGTGGGTGTTGAGTATAGCATCCGAGATTGACCGTCTACAAGAAGACCGGCCGGAGGATGTGCGAATCATCTCACAGCAGACTTAGCGATTGTTTTCTTGTTTTTGGAAGTATAGCTCCACGATCCAACCCGCAGGATCGGCCTATTCTCTAATTTCTATATAGTCACCACACACACATGAAGGACGAAAGGGAGGAAATATGTACATACTCAATGCAAACAAACATAATATACACAACATCGAACACCACCAACCAGCTTACAGTAAACAGCAGCCTACGACAATTGTGGGCGTTCCAACTTCACCGCCTCCTTAACCACACGCTCCCTCACCTCCTGGCGATAACCCTCCCCGAAGCGCCGCTCCGTATCGCCCTCCACAAGCCCGCGTTCCCAATCCTCCCAATTCAACCACCGCCACCTGGGCCACAGCACCGCCAGCACCCGGCCCGTGATCAGACTGCAACTCACCGGCCCGTAGGTATTACTATCCATGGACTTCCGGGGATCGCGCGCATCGCCCTCCAACCACACATGGTTGAACGGGACGACCTGCGCATCCTTCAGACAGGGTTCACGTGTCGTGATCCGATCCCCGGGCAGTCCGACGACGCGCTTGATGGCGATGTGGCGGGGATTCGCGGGGGAGCTATTCACACCGGCGCCGGAAAAGGAGAACTGTTAGCCACACCATACCATTACCCTCTTCGAGGATCCCGGTCCCCGGGGGGTTGGTTGAAGATGGTCGTTGAACAGAACAGCCGCAGACTCACCGAAACGTAACGACCATCCCCCTCTCCAGCCGCCGCTTCCGCTCCCACGGCCACAACCCGCCCCCGCCCCACATGTTCACCAGCACCATGTCGCTGGCCGTGTGCATCTGCTCGTAGTCCTCGTTCAGGTAGGGCGTCATGCTGGGCCCGCGCACCCACATCACCTGCAGCACGTGCTCGGAGAAGAAGAGCCCGATCGGGAGGAGCGGGAGCGTGGCGCCCAGCACCCGCACGGACCGCCGGAAGGGTAGCGGGAGGGTTGCGTAGCGCGCGCGGAGGGCCGAAAGGAAAGAGATGCGAGGGCGTTGGCGGGCTTGTTGTTGTTGTTGTTGTTGCTGGGCGTGGGCGTGCGCTTGCGCGCGGAGTTCGTCTTGGAGGTCTTGGACGAGGCGGTGGCCTGAACTGGTTGCGCGGGAGAGTTCTTCGCGGGCCACGACGCGGGGTTTTGTGCGGTTGGGGTTCGAATTGGGTGGTGCTGGTGGTGTTGGTGGTGGCATATTCAGTGCTGATTCGTTTGGAGGTAGGGAGGAGGCCCTTTTTGTTGGGGTGGGAGCTGGGTTGGAGCTGGGGTTGCGTGCGGAGGTGCGGAAATGAGGATGGAGGTGGGGATGCGGTCGCGGGGTAGGGGAGGTTGGCTAGTGGGAGGATGTCCGATTGTTTCGCGGGCAAGTGTGTGAGGTGATCGTGTAGCGAGGGTGGAAGAGGAATTGGTGCTCAATTAGAGAGGAAAAAGTGTGTCGCATCGGACTGTGCGATGCGAGCCGCGGAGATGATCGTGATCGTGATATCGTGATAATTATCGCAAGCTTGTTTGCGGTGTTTGCACTGGTCGTTTCGGGAACGTTTGTCCTGTGACCCGGGTGTGGATCGACCCGAACCATAGCTGCTCTACGAAGTATACCGTCATTTAGGACGAATGTCAGGTTAAAGAATTCTCGCATCGCCAAAGAACAAGTGTTGCATTAGCTATCATAATTGATGGAAATCTCAATGTCGATGGGGGTGGTCTGCATTGCTCCATTCGCACACGACCACTGAACATTTAGTCCCAGACGCCAGCCGAATCATAAAGTAACGTATTTGTCATAAGTTTTGTGCATGAATATCCATAGTCGCCAGTCTCAATTACCAATCCTTGGTCATGAGGCTATCCTTGGACAAAATCCCATCCGACGACGACTGTGAGCCATCCATGTCGATGATGCCGCTCGACTGGACGCTTTGCACGTCAGTGGCCGACGGAGGCCGGTCGACCTCGACGGGGTCATCGTCCAATCTCTCCGTGCGCCCGTCCTCGGACTTGTCCACCTCCTCCCAGTCGTCATCCGATTTGATGGAGAAGTCCTCGATGTAGCTTTTACCTCGCTGCGTGGTCGCGGTCTCGTTAACCCTCTGCTTCTTGGTCTCCGGTTGGCCGTCCAGTCCGGGCTCCATGGTGGGCGCGTCGGGGAGCTTGGCTGCGAGTACTTCGGATGACAGTAAGGACTCACCGTCGGTGCTTGTTGGCTGGGATTCGCTCTGCTCGTGGGGGATGCCGTTGCTGGGAACACCCTGATCCTCGGGTGGGAAGAATAAACTAGCAGACGAAGGCATACTGTTAGTATCCACTTGTCGAACAGTACCGACGATAACAGCAAAAGCTCCGATGAAGGCGAAGGGGAAACCAATGGTCCAGACTTACGGCACGAGCTTCTCATAGGCCACCTCGTCCTTGCGCTCAAAATTGCAGAAGATGATGCGCTCCAGCTTGCCGATATTGCCAGCGGCCTCCAGGAACTGGCGCGTCTCGTCCAGCACCGCCCTGGCGGCGGCTTCACTCGGGTACCCGTATACGCCCGTGCTGACGGCCGAGAACGCGATGCTCCTCATGTCATTCTCCACGGCCACCTCCAGACTGCGACGGTAGCAGCTGCGGAGCAGCGACTCGGGCCGCCGGGCGCCCCCGCGCCGGCGCTCGGATTCGTAGATAGGACCGACGGTGTGGATGATTCTTTTGCAGGGGAGCTCGTATGCGGCGGTGATCTTGGCGTCGCCGGTGTCGCAGCCGTCCAGGGTGCGGCACTCGCGCAGCAGGTCGGGCCCCGCGGCGCGGTGGATGACGCCGTCGACGCCCCCGCCGCCCAGCAGGCTCTCGTTTGCGGCGTTGACGATGCAGTCGACCCCCTGCAGCTTTGTGATGTCATTGCGAACCAACGCGATCGTGTCGTTGAAGGCCTTGGACGGCGGCGCCAGAGGGGACGCGGCGGGGACCAACCGCTTCAGCTTGTACAGGAGTGAAACGGTCGGGATCTCGGCGAGAGGTATGAGGGGGCCTGCCATCTTGCAGCACGGTCGTGTAGCTCGGATCGTAGTTGTTTCCCAGGAATTGTTTATCCAAACGGCGGTGATACGAAGTCTTCCCCGCGTTTGGACAAAGAGGTGGCGGGAGCCGGGCACTTGCAGCGCAGTTTGATTCGATGAGGGAGAAGTCCTGCACGAATGAGACAGTTTTTTGCTTGGTAATACCTTGACCCAACAAATATCAGATCAAGAAAGTATGTGATAGATAGTGTTCTCAGCAGATGTTCTTTGATGCAAGTAAGCTGTTGTGGAGGGGGGTTTGAAGCTTGCTTGTCACACGTGATTGACACATGATTCACCCTTATCTTATCGCCGGGCCAACCCACAGGTGAATCTTGTCACAAACGTCATAGTGGGCTGGAATTGACCAACAGAGCTCTGTATGTCTTGGGTCACTGTGGAAGGGAAGAGCTCCCGGTTGCCTCAGGTTAGCAGTATATGGAAGCTGCGGTGTATCCTTTGCGTGTCTCTTGAACCCCGGATATCATCCTGGTGCCAATTCATGACGCGAGACGAAAAACAACAGCACAAGCTGATCGCGAACCACGAAAGAGCAATTGCGCAACCAACTGATCATATTTGGAATTCAGTTTGTGGTAAAGCAGACAAGCCCTCCTTCCTACAGCAATACAGGCACGGACAAGCTACTCCTCGAATAGTCTATCAGGCAGATAGACTCTACAGAACACGGTAGCAATAACAACCCAACCACCTCATCTCCGCGCCGTACAGTACTCCCCATACTGAGTATGAATCTGATCTACGACGTCAGAATCCAAATCGATCCACGGGAAACCCACAATCGATCGAGATGGAAATATACCTGTCACCCGACTATTCATTACAAAACAGTCCACAGTTCTATATCCTCACCCGAACCAATAATTGCCAGCCCAGTACAGTACATGAGGAGTCAAACAATTGAATTATGCGCGGGTAGCAAACCAAGCGCCTGCAGGAACTGGAGGTCCGTCCTCCTCCTTCGCCCCACGAAAAAGAAAAAAGAGATAAGCCTCCGAATGGACGAGACGGAGAAGAAACAGAGGCTTGAGCCTCTTTCTTGACCCAGAAATATGACAGATGCTCCGGCCAATCGAGAGATCGAACCACACAAGGTTCAGATGTCACCGCTTCTTTGTGATCGGGCTCTCAGATCCAGCGCCGGGACCCCCTTCCCATGGCCCCGGGCTTCCCTGCCTGCTCTGAGATTACCCGATACGGCGCATGATGTATGCACGGTGCAGCTGTTCTGTTATGCTTTGATGATCTGACAGATCGAGTCCGAAGTGATCTGTAACACTGCATCCGGGGTCGAGCGAGAGAGCAATCCACAAAGGCATTAGACTACCGCCAGTAGATCCCGAATCAAGCCACATCTTGCGGATAGGACGCGAATGATCGGCCCAGGAGGGGGCAGGGCGAACTAATGCAAGGGCCAGAAGCAGGTTCCTTTGCACAACTGCGGGATGATGGTGGGAGCTTTTGCACGCGACGGTTGAAACCTAAAGAATTATGTGGTTTGCTGGTTTTTGTTTTCATTGGAAATGAGATGCATTGTGATTTGTCAAATGATGTCAGTGACAGTCTCAAGCTACAGGCCCTGCGCGATTAGTCGCAATCTGTATGCATACACACACACTCTCTCTCTCTCCTTTCTTTGATATCATCATGCATGTGTACTGTACAGTACAAACTGCATCGCCACATCATCCCAACAACTGCATGCTCGCAGACAACCCCTCCGATTGCCCCCCTGTTGCTGCATTTCCATGCATGGGAAGCACCTTCGACCGGGAGAGGGTCGTGTACGAGATTATTCGGACCACAAGAGGAAAGTGAACTCGATCGTCAATCTTTTCACCTCTGCCACCATGAATTACTCCGCATTCGGAGTTCGGATGCACGTCAATCACCCCCCCTCCCCCCTTTTGCCCAAAAGGACAAACATATTACGAATATATTTAGTTTGCGTATGAACGACGGGGAAGAGGGGCCGGGCACAAGAAGCACCCGAACTCATCCATGCTGCAATGGATGCAAGTCCAGCACTGCAGATTAGTGTGGTTGCCTTCCTCGCTGCCTATTCCCTAAGTAGGATGAAACCTTCTCGGCTCGGGATGACGATAAGCAGACTTTTGACAGACAGGTGCCAGATGCAATCGATCCTCCCCGGTGAGATCACTTGGAGAGAGGGTCTCAAAAGATACCCCCGGATACTGGTTTGCGAATGCCCCTAGACCGGCAACAGGTAAGCCGGCCATAGAAGCAGAGTCACTCGCCTATCGGAGGGACCCAAAAGAAAAACTCCGGATCGATCCGTGACACTCGCGAGGCAATACTATATCCATAGGAATGTAATGTGAATCAATGTCTCAATCTGAGTAATCATGATTCTTTGAGCTTATACCTTTACAAGTATCGCCAAGGCATGCCTTCCCCCTTCTCCAAACCTGAACCACGGGGGAAAGCTTTGGAGGGGAAGTGGAACGCTAGGGTTGTACGGGTATTGCGGCTCTGTGTATCTGCACTAAGTTAGACAGTAAGTCAACAGACCCCCTCATGCGGTATCGAATCCAAATCAGGAGTCTGCATGGCAAGCGGGATATGACCCCCTTCCCAAAAATACAATGGATTTGTAGGTTAGGTACTTCGTACACCGTACAGTACACAACCGAACCCCTGGGGGGAGCGCTCAAATTTGGTTTAGCCTCCACAGAAGAAGAAAAAAAAAAGGTTCTAAGGTAGTTTTTTTGTGGATCAGTTTCGAAAAAAGAAAGTTTCGCATCATACATGCGGTCCAATAGCTGGGTTCCAAATCATCCCCGAGAAGAGAACCCGAACATCCACTGCGCAGTGGATGGAACTAACTATTTGGAGTCTGGTGGGTTTTGTTGGGTGAAAAGCTATCCTCTCCGGGCGATCAGGTAGACTAGATGCCAAAGAGATCTGGGACGGAGACGGCGGGAAGGGCCAAAGCAAGGGGGAGAAGAGACGATGGGGGCGAAGGAAGGGGACGGCAAAGAAGTTCTTCGCTAACTGTCCGAGAAGGAAAAGAGAAAGGGCAAAAAAACAAAAAGAAGAAGAAGAAGAAGAAGAGAGGGGGCAAATAGATCGTCTACTCTGGACTAGTATCAGCACTGGTTTACCTAGTAGCTAGCACGCACCCTCCCCCCCAAACAAGAAGGATTGGCAAAGATTTTCTTCATATCTGCGTGTCTAAACCTGAATA